CGGCCAAGCATCAGTCACTATCCTCCCTTGTATTTATCCATATGTTGTAGTTATCCTAATCATTATAGGATTAGGATAATCATCCCCTTTATTGTTGTAATCCTTATCTCCTAAGGAATATGCTTATTCTCTTGTATGTATATATATGTATGTGCACGTGATGAATAAGATATACAGAGTTACAACCTTCTTCTTTATTATATAACATGATGTATTTACTTAGTTGGATTTTTCCCTTTTCTTGAATCATATCGGATTTACAATTCTCAGTTTAGAGAAATGGGTATCCCGAACCGGGCGCAATCGGAAGCCTTACTAAAGGCAAAAACGGAAAGCAGACATTTGATTTGTTAAACCAATTTGGTCTAAATTGCAGAAAAAAGAATTTCCGGATTAAATGTTCGGGAGTTTGAACCCGACGTGAATCGAACACGCAACCTTCTGATCTGGAGTCAGACGCGCTACCATTGCGCCACGGATCCGGACATTAAAAGTATCAGTTATTACTGTTCAGCCATGAATCAATTATAATTTTAGGTTAATGTTGTGTGTTTCATTCTCAAAGATAGATCCAAAACGCATAGACATAGACATGATACTCGTGTCAATTGCATGAAAACTGAATTCATTTTATAACCTTTTCGAAAAAATCTTTCAAGAAGAAAGAGTAAAATTCATATATATACAATGAATAAGTCTAACTCTACGAGCAAAATGGCGAATAATCATCATTGGATCCGAGAAGTCACAGTGATGAATGTATCTTCAGGACAAGGAATGGTTAAGCCACCCATTGGATGGTCGAATCCAAACTCTTCTTCAGATTTACTGAGGAGAGCTTGAAACGAAGGCTGGCTCAAGTATGAGATTGGCACCACATATCTCTTCTTCTGGCTCTCTCCTACGTACACCGCCAAAAACCCTTTCGTTGGTGAGGCTGCTCTTTTGCTTGTGGACGCTGCTAATGTTACGGAGCGTCCAAGAATCTTCTTTGCACCCAATAGACTTCTCATTAAAGCCATTTCTATAGTTTTTGTTTTTTAAGTTTGAATTCTTTTGAAGAGATGTATGGAAATACAATGCTATTTGATTGCTTGTTGTTGGTTGATGATAGAAAGAATGGATTATGCGTATATATAGAAAGATCAATGAATGAGTTTGTACCCTCTTTGAAAAGTCTTTGAAACTTGTGGTCTTGAAGCGTGGGACAGGCTAATAGTATCTCACATGGTTATGTCTTTCGCATCTGGAAACAATGCATTAATGCATGAAATTTGTCTACTTGGATAGTCTCCAAAGGCAATTCACAAGGGCTTGTCTTCTCAATGTTTCTGAGATATGAAGTGTCCTATATTTCTAATTATTTGAATCTGTAATGATCAAGTGGTTGGGTTGTTTGGCCTTATCTCTAAACTCTGTGGGGGAAATGGTTAATAAGAACCTAAAGTAGGGACCTGCTGTTCTTCAACAACTGAACATAACAACAAGTCTATGTCAGTACTAGTTATGATTTTACTTGATTAAATATGACATTTCTATGTAAAGGAATATACAAATGTCTCTCAGTTCATCATTTCAGGAGAACAAGAAATATTTAGGCCCATGAGCTTTGCAAGATAAAGAAAAAACAGAGTACGGAACATAAATTTGCTAAAAAATCATTAATTTTGTTTCTCTCACTGTTACGTACGTTGCAAGTCTGATATATACAGTAGTAAACCATGTTTTAAGGCCTATATATGATAACTGGAGGTTCCATCTACTCCCTTACAGATGTAGACTGACTCTTAACTTTAGCTTTAGAATTTAGTGAGAAGACTGATGGAGAAGCTGTTGCTAAAATGAAAATGCTGGTTTTGTCAATTCTTGTATTGGTTTGGCGCCAATTTAGGCTTACGTTATAGACAATATAATTTTTGACCATGCTCAATTTATCTATTTTAATAATATGAATGAATATACGTGTTCTGAGAGAGATGAAGAGTAAACAAAAACGGTAAAAGAGATAAACAAGAGGCAATCTCAATGAAGAAAGGCGTTTTCTAGCAGATTTATACATGAGACGTAAGAGCTAAGGCAACGAGTAAAGTTCAATTTGTTTTGTCATTTCCTTTTTTATGAGCGATCCAGAACTTATAAAGTTAACATGAATCATATATTGTGTCTCTAACAAAACAATGGTATGTACTTTCAAAACTTTACAGCAACTCTTTCAAGAAGAAAGAGAGAAAAATAATCTCCTCTATTTACAAGAAATAATTCTATGTCTAACTTGAAGAAAAATATGTTGGATAATCATCACTGGAGCTGAGATGTCACATCGATGAAGGTATCTTCAGGACAAGGGATCGTTAAGCCACCCATCGGATGGTCGAATCCAAACTCTTCTTCACATTTGCTGAGAAGAGCTTGAAACGAAGGTTGGCTCAAGTATGAGATTGGCACCACATATCTCTTCTTCTGACTTTCTCCTACGTACACCGCAAGAAACCCTTTTGGTGCCGCCGAGGTTGCTCTTTTGCTTGTTGCAGCTCCAAGAATCTTCTTTGCACCTAATAGACTTCTCACCAAAGCCATTTCTAGTTTCTTTGTCAAACAGTTTGAATCTTTTTTGAAGCTTCTGAAGTTATTAGATATATTGCTTGTTTGTTGGTTGATGATAGAAATAATGGGTAATGTGATGTGTATATATAGAAAGAACAATCAATGAACTGAAACCTCACTGAAAAATCCATAAAACTTATGGTCTTGAAGTGTGGGACAAACTAGAGAAGGGTTTCACATGGTTCTGTCCTTACCAATTGGAAAAAGTTATAGTTTAAAGCAATTTGACTTGATGAGATTATTAATTGAGTGTGGGACAATAAACTAAAAACAAAATGCAATTCACAAGGGCTTGTTTTCTCAATGTTTTCTCAACGTTCCTTCATGTTCTGTGGTGATCATTTAACTCATCTCTGTGGTCTAAGTGGATTTAATTAAATAAGAACTCAAAGTAGGACCCTGGAGTTTCTCAACAACAGAACAATAAGTCTCTGTCATAGGTTAAGCTGTTCTTTGATTATATCCATTTCTTCTTTTCATTTATTATACAGACATGAGAATGCAAACAAATGATGTTGGTTAGGTTTCGTTTGCTTGTCATCTATCATATCTAGAAGACAGAACCATGTGAAACTCTCTGTGTATGCCCCATACTTTCAGTGGTTCCAAGGTGGTTTTCAGTCCTTCATTAATCTATTTATAAATCCAGTGACAGAACCAAGTAGCAAAAATGCAAAAGCAATCCAAACATTAAACTTTCAGAAGCTTCAAGTTTCATTTTTCTATACACAAGAAATGGCTTTGTTGAGAGGTCTCTTGGGTGCAAAGAAGATTATTGGCGTTTCTGTAGCGGCTACAAGTAAAAAGACAGTTTCAGCACCAAAGGGGTTTCTTGCGGTGTACGTTGGTGAAGACCAGGTCCAGAAAAAGAGATATTTGGTGCCAATCTCATATCTAAACCAGCCTTCTTTTCAAGCTCTTCTCTGTAAATCCGAGGAGGAGTTTGGATTTGATCATCCAATGGGTGGCTTGACGATCCCTTGTCCTGAAGATACATTCATTAGAGTGACGTCTAGATTTCAATGTTGATGTTCTAAAAGAAGAAAAATTAACATTAGTTAGAGATCCAATGTAAATATGTTAACGTTTTACAATGTGAAAGAGACTGTTATCTAAAGTGAATAGTTTCACAATCTTTTGTCTTCCGAGATAAATTACCAAAACACAGACAATGAAAGATAACGAGCCTTCAAATTTTTTATTTGTAATAATCTATATCTAAAGGTGATTTAAATTGCTTAAGTTACTCCCTTCTCAAATCGATTTCCCGAACAGGATTTACATTAACAAATGCTAGAAACAGAGTACTCTGTTTTTAACAAGCTTTTTTTTCTCTTACGTACAATCAATCCACCACGATCATGCTTTCTTCACCCCCTAATTATCTTTTTTCTTACGTATGCTCTATTATGGTTTTATTTCCTCTTTCTTGTTTCTTTTTTTCTTTCTTTTAAATCTTCGGTCTCGAAACAGATATTTTCGGTCATGATAATCTAATTTCAAACCAGATCAGCCGCCTCAAATGGAGGGCAAATCTTGGGAAGGAAAGCAAAAAGAGTTTCCGGATAATTGTTCGGGAGTTTGAACCCGACGTGAATCGAACACGCAACCTTCTGATCTGGAGTCAGACGCGCTACCATTGCGCCACGGATCCGGATGCTAAGGATCTACATGACCATACTTCAACGAATAAATTATAGTTTTAGGTTCTTCAAATGTTGTATATTTCATTTCAAAAGATCGATCCAAAACGTATTTAACATGAGATCGTGTCGGTTGCATGAAATCTGATTTCATTTTATAACAGAATAAAGATTCATCTATATACAATGAACAAGTCTAACTCTAGTTCTAAGAACAAAATAATGGATGATCATCAGTGAAGCCTAGAAGTCACATTGATGAAAGTATCCTCAGGACAAGGGATGGTTAAGCCACCCATCGGATGATCAAAACCAAACTCTTCCTCGGATCTGCTGAGAAGAGCTTGAAACGAAGGCTGGCTCAAGTATGAGATTGGCACCATATATCTCTTCTTCTGGCTCTCTCCTACGTACACTGCAAGAAACCCTTTAGGTGGTGCCGCTGAGGCTGCTGCTCTTTTGCTTGTAGAAGATGCTGAGACGGATAGGCCCAGGATCTTCTTTGCACTCAATAAACTTCTCACCAAAGCCATTTCTATTTTTTTAAGGTTTTCTGAAACTTTGAATTCTTTTGAAGAGATTACAGATGTATGAAAAGATAAAGCTATTAGATTGCTTGTTTTTGGTTGATGATAGAAGAATGGGTTAGGTGTATTATATAGAGAGATAAATGAATATAATGAGTTGCATTCCTCTCTAATAATCATTGAAACTTGTGGTATTGAAGTGTGGGACACGCTACTAGTATTTCACATGGTTCTGTCTTTAGCTTAGTTAAAGAAATGCATTAATACAATTTGTCTACTTGGATAGTCTCCAAAGGCAATTCACAAGGGCTTGTTTTCTCAATGTTTCAGTGATAATAAGTGCCCTATATTTTTAATTACAATGTTTCTGTGAATCTCTAATGATCAAGTGGTTGATTGGTTGGCCTATACTCTAAACTCTGTGGTCGAAATGGATTTAATAAAAACTAAAAGTAGAGACCTTTTGTTCTTCAACAACATAACCACAAGTCTCAGTCAGTACTAGTTATGTTTTTATTTGATCACATATGACATTTATATGTAAAAAAAAATATATACAAGCGTCTCTCACTTCTTCATTTCAGAAGAACAAGTAATACTTGGGCCTTTAAGCTTTGTTAAATATTTTGTTTCTTTCACTGTTGCGTGAGTCGCAAGACTGATATATAGTAAAGTTGCAAGGACTTATATTATAACCAGGGGATCCATTCACTACCTTGCAGATGTAGACTGACTCTTAACTTTTAGCTTTAGAATTTCATTGTGAAAACTAATGGAGAAGCTGCTGCTAAAATGAACGTCCAGTATTGTAGTTGTTGGCGCCAATTTAAGGTTACATTATAAACAAGATAACTTTTGACCATGCAGTTCATCAGTCTTACTATATGAATGAATATAAATGTTCTAAGAGAGATGAAGATCAAACACAACGGTAAATGAGAGAAACTAAGGAAATATCAAGAAACGAAACAAGAAAGACATTCTCTAGCAGATTATGGGTGATAACATAAGATGTAAGTGCTAAGGCAAAGATTAAGAGAAAATATAGGTTTCTGTATGATTCTTGTACTACGACTTAATATCAGATTGAACTTTACTGAACTCAAGCAGGATGCTTATTAAATTTACAAACTCTTAAACTGAAAGGAAGACTACTTTTTGGTTGACAAAAAGAAGGGGGAAAATATTCATGCGATCCGTTTTATTTCAACTCTTTGTTAGATGAAAGACTTCAATGGATGATAATTTGGTTTAACTTGAGTCACAGAACCATAAGATAAAGGCTCTCATTTAGTTAAATTTAACAACAACTAGAGTATAACTAAAAACAATTGTTCAGTTGGTGTTGTCATTTAATTTTCAGTACTGATCGATCCAAAACATATAAAGTAAAAATGAATCATGATATTTACTTTCAAAACTGTACAATAACTCTTTCGAGAAGAAAGAGAGAAAAAATCTTCTCCATTTACAAGAAACAAGTATGTGTCTAACTTGAATAAAAATATGTTGGATAGTCATCATTGAAACCGAGACGTCACATCGATGAAGGTTTCCTCAGGACAAGGGATGGTTAAGCCACCCATTGGATGATCGAACCCAAACTCTTCTTCTGATTTGATGAGAAGAGCTTGAAACGAAGGTTGGCTCAAGTATGAGATTGGCACCACATATCTCTTCTTCTGACTCTCTCCTACGTACACCGCAAGAAACCCTTTTGGTGCCGCTGAGGTTGCGTTTTTGCTTGTTATTGCAGCTCCAAGAATCTTCCTTGCCCCCAATAGACTTCTCACCAAAGCCATTTCTAGTTTCTTTGTCTAAAACTTTGATTGCTTTTTGAAGCTTCTGAAGGTGTATGAAAAGATTCAAGTTATTGGATATATTGCTTGTTTGTTGGTTGATGATAGAAATAATAGGTTATATCATGTGTATATATAGAAAGATCAATGAATGAGTTGAAACCTCACTGAAAAACCCATGAACCTTCTGGTCTTGAAGTGTGGGACATACTAGAGAAGAAATTCACATGGTTCTGTCTTAATGAAATTATTAGTTGAATGTGGATCAATAAACTTAAAGCAAACTCCATATGCAATTCACAAGGGCTTGTTTTTTTCTCAATGTTTCTTCATGTTCGGTGGTGATCATATTCCCTCATCTCTGTGGTCTAAATGGATTTATTAAACAATAATGACCCAAAATGGGGACTTGAAGTTTCTCAACAACAGAACAACAAGTCTATGTCACAGGTTAACTTGTTCTTTTGATTATATCCACAACTAGGTTTACACAAGGACAGTTATACGTAAAAAAACTTGAGTACCTTCATTTCTTCTCTCCATTTATTATGCAGACATAAGAAAACAAACAAATAATGCTCGTTAGGTTTCGTTTCTCGTCATTTATCATATCTAGAAGACAGAACCATGTGAAACTCTGCTCACGCCTGTCCTACACTTCCAAGACCACAAGCTTCAAGGATTTTTCAGAGAGGTTTCAATTCATTCGTTGAGGTTTCTATATATATTCACATCACATTACCCCATTATTTCCACCATCAACCAAACAACAACCAATATTTCAATAACTTGATTCTTTTCATAACAAGTTCAGAAGCTTCAAAAGGATTCAAACTTTCAGAAAAAAAAAAAAAACTAGAAATGGCTTTGTTGAGAAGTCTATTGGGTGCAAAGAAGATTCTTGAAGCTGCAACAAGCAAAAGAGCAACCTCAGCGGCACCACCGAAAGGGTTCCTAGCGGTGTACGTAGGAGAGAGCCAGAAGAAGAGATATGTGGTGCCAGTCTCATACTTGAGCCAGCCTTCGTTTCAAGATCTTCTCAGAAAATCAGAAGAAGAGTTTGGGTTTGATCATCCAATGGGTGGCTTGACGATCCCTTGTCCTGAAGATACCTTCAATAGTGTGACGTCTCGGTTTCAATGATGATGTTCCAAAAGAATAGGAAAAACGAATGTTAGTTAGAGATATAATCATCCAATGTAAATATGCTAACGTTTTACAATGTGAAAGAGAGTTTTTCAATGTGAATAGTTTCACAATGTTTTGTCTCCAAAGTTAAATGAATGTGCAACCAAAACACAAACAATGAAAAGTTAACGGACCTTAATTATTTTTGTTCTGTTTAGATTCGTTTTATCTAACAGAAAATGTTTAAGTACACCCTTCTCAAATCGATTTCCCAAACAGGATAACATGAACAAAATACTAGAAACAGAGCTCTCTGTTTTACATTCTCTTACGTACAGTACAATCTACCATGTTATGCTTTCTTCAAACCCTAATCGTTTTCTTACGTATGCTACTATGGTTTTATTTCCTCTTTCTTTTAAATCTTTTTATACCATGCAGACCAATGTTTTCGCTCTTCTTGTGTCGTGTGTCTGGAAGGAGGACCAGAAACCGGTTCAGACCGTAACAAATGCTTTCGGTTGTAATAGATTGAGTTCAAACCAGATTATACTTCTAGTGGAACCGGCTGAAAGGTAGCAAAATCGGAGGACAAATCTTGGGAAGGAAACAAAAAGAATTTCAGGATAATAATTCGGGAGTTTGAACCCGACGTGATACGAACACGCAACCTTCTGATCTGGAGTCAGACGCGCTACCATTGCGCCACGGATCCGGATGCTAATCATTCTACTTACATATAGCTGGCCATGATTTGTTATAATATAAAGTTCTTCAAATGTTATGTTAGGGTTCTTTCTTTTCCAGTGATCGATCCAAAGTGTACTGACATTATCGTGTCTATTGTGTAAAAATGACATTCATTCTCTAAATTTGTAGAACAACTCCTTCGAGAATAAAGAGAGAAAAAGGTCATATATATTTACAATGAATATATCTATTTCTAACTCCAACAAAAAAAGGTGGATAACAATTAATCATCATCGGATCCGAGACGTCACAGCGATAAAAGTATCTTCAGGACAAGGAATCGTTAAACCACCCATTGGATGGTCGAAGCCAAACTCATCCTCGGATTTACTGAGAAGAGCTTGAAAGGAAAGTTGGTTCAAGTATGACATTGGCACCACATATCTCTTCTTCTGATTCTCTCCTACGTACACCGCAAGAAACCCTTTTGGTGCTGCCGACGCTGCCCTCTTGCTCGTAGAAGCTTCTGCTGTTATGGAACGACCAAGAATCTTCTTTGCACCCAGTAGACTTCTCATCAAAGCCATCTCTCTTTGTAAAGTTTGAAATTCTTTTGAAGCTCCTTAAGATGTATGAAAATATTCAAGTTGTAGGTATATATTGTTGGTGTTTGTTGATGACATAAAGAATGGTTTATGTGTATATATAGAAAGATCAATGAATAAGTTTGAACCTTCTTTGAAAATTCCTTGAAACTTGTGGTCTACAAGTGTGGGACAGGCTAGAACATGGTTCTGTCTTAAACGATGCATTAATGCTATTTGTCTACTTGGATCATCTCCATATCAACACACAAGGGCTTGTTTTCTCAATGTTTCTGACATTTTTTCCAAGATAATCTTCATTCTTACTTATAATTTTTTTTATTTGTGACCTATTTGAAAAGAACAACTTAAACGGTGACATAGACTTGTTGTTCTGTTGGTGAGGGACTTCAGGTCCCAACTTTTTTGTATTTATTAAAATCCACTTAGACCACAGAAATGAGATTATAGGACAAATAAAATCAACCATAGAACATGCATGGAAGAAAAAACCTTGCTGGTCTTTGTTATCGGCAATGACATATGTATCATCTAAACTTTTTGAGAAAACAAACCCTTGTGACTCATTCATTTATCATCAAGACAAATTACATTAATGCATATTTCCCATAGTTAAGACAATACCATGTGATTTGCGCTAGTCTGTTCCACGATTCAAGACCATACAAATTTCAGAATTTCTTTCTAGAGATTTCAACTCATTCATTGATCTATCTATCTATATATATATATATATATATATACACATGAGCCATTCTTTCTATCATCAACCAAAAGCGATTCACTAAACTTAACCCTCTCATACATCTTCAAAAGAACTCAAACGTTCAGCAACAGAAAAAAACAAAACAAATGGCTTTGATGAGAAGTCTATTGGGTGCAAAGAAAATACTTGGACGCTCCGTAACAGCAGTAGACGCAACAAGCAAAAGAGCAGCCTCTCCGGCACCAAAAGGGTTTCTTGCGGTGTACGTAGGAGAGAGCCAGAAGAAGAGATATGTGGTGCCAATTTCATATTTGAGCCAGCCGTCGTTTCAAGCTCTGCTCAGCAAATCAGAAGAAGAGTTTGGCTTCGATCATCCAATGGGTGGCTTAACCATCCCTTGTCCTGAAGATACTTTCATCACTGTGACGTCTCGGTTCCAATGATGATTATCCAACATATTGTTCATATAGTTAGAGATAGAGTTCTTCCTTGTAAATAGAGGAGTTTTTTTTTTCTCTTCTTCTTGAAGGAGTTGTTTGATAATTTTTTTTTTGAAAGAGAATGCCAATACGAAGATCTATGTGAATGACATATAACTTTTGAAAGTGAATACCATACAACTTCTTAAAAGCTCACCAGAGAATCTTGACAAAGCATGAAGAACAAAAAACCATGTTGCTTGAAAAAAAAACATGTTGCTTGTCTTCCACTCAACCAGATTGACGCATATGAGAAATAACTATGGGGGTGAAACTCTGATCTTTGTACGTCTCAAGTTTCAACTCAGTAATGTCTTTCGGCTCCAAATAATGATCTTGCCATAAAACACAGTTATTTTTTTTGCAAATAGGTGGACACCTTGCAGAGTATACCAAGTTCAATTGTTAAATCGGTGTATGTATCATACAAAACATTAAGTAAAAAATTTCACATACACATTTCGGCTTTAACCTCTTGAATAACTTTTTTTCACTAAGAAAGAAGAAAACAGTTAACATATTAACATTGAATAACTCTATCTCTTCCTTGAGCTAACTAATGTCAGTTTTTCATCTTCTGAAACATCTTTCATTGAAGGCGGCAAGTCACATTGATGAAGGTAGCTTCAGGACAAGGAATTGTCAGTCCACCCATTGGATAATCAAATCCAAACTCTTCCTCAGATTTACCAAGACGAGCTTGAAAAGAAGGCTGGTTTGGATATGATACTGGCACCAAATATCTCTTCTTTTGGACATGGTCTTCACCAAATGGCTTTGGTCAGAAGTATATGAAGATGTATGGTCAACACGTAGCAAGACGAAGTCATTAAAAGGAAGATTTAATGAAGAATTTAATAAAGAAAAAACTTGAAGAAGAAGCAATTGATTCAAAGAGAATCCGGTGAAAGAGAAGCAAAGCATCTATGGGTTAGGAGCTCAAGTGGTTCAGAGGCTGTCATAGATCTGTGAACGTGTAGGTTAGTCAACAAGTCAAGATTTGTCTTGAGCTTGATTGAAATATTGTTTTTAGAAAGAAATTGTTTGTACTTTTAAAAGAATAAATCTAGTGGTATTTCTTGGTATTTCTTGGAATTACTTATCCCTGGATTACTGTGTGTTCTAGTTTGTGTAGCTCACTTATCTTACATTAACAGTATATTGGGTGCAAAGAAGATTCTTCGTCATTTAACCTAGTGGGCTCCTGGCGACATGAAGCGCCGTTAGACATTTCGATCAGACTAGAACATTTTACCCGAGAAGGTTTAAAGACTATTCTAACAGGGTTTCTTGGGATGCAAGAATTTGTCAAGTTTCCTGTAGAGATCTTCGAGCGCTCTCGGTGATGGAAATAAGAAACATTCAAAATCCTAATCCTTGATACAATCCTGGATTGCTTCACACGTCGTTGGAAGCTGCCTTTTCTGAAAAAGTCCTCGATTACAGCAAGAAACTGTTTTTTTTATAAATTTAAACAACTAAACTTAACCTCTAACTATGCACACAGAATACAAATAATTTATATGAAAAAATGCATTTCCTGACTGATTCTCCCCCACTTGAAAAGTCAAGACTTAGCTGTATAAGGATCTATATACGCGTCTGTATTTCTTTTTCCGATCTGAAAGCTTTGTGATAATTTTCTTCGTGCTTGTTATTCATCATGGCTTCTTCTTCATCTCTATCTCTGTCTCGCAGTTGTTTGTATGACGTTTTCCTGAGCTTCCGTGGCGAAGACGTGCGCAAAGGCTTTCTTAGTCACGTTATGAAAGAGCTCAAAAGCAAGGGAATCTTACCTTTCCTTGATAACGAGATGAAGCGAGGTGAATCTATCGATGCCGCGCTCATAGGAGCGATCAGACAATCAAGGGTAGCCGTTGTCTTGCTCTCCCGTAACTATGCTTCTTCAAGCTGGTGTCTGGATGAGTTGTTGGAAATCATGAAGTGCTGGAAAGAGAATCAACAAAAAGTGTTGACCATTTTCTATGAAGTGGAACCATCTGATGTTAGACACCAGACAGGAGATTTCGGAAAAGTCTTTGAGAAAACCTGTGAGGGGAAAACAGAAGAGGTGAAGCAGGCATGGAGGCAAGCTTTGAAAGATGTCGCTGGTTTAGCTGGTTACCACTCTAGCAACTTGTTCGTTCTCTTTCTTTTTATACTTCCACTTGGATATTATGGTGTAGTATTGTTTTAATGAATATTCTCTGTTGTTTTTGTTAGTGGAAATGAAGCTGATTTGATCAACAAAGTAGCCTCAGAAGTCACGGATGTTCTGGGTTTTACACCATCAAAAGACTTTGATGACTTTGTTGGCATAGGAGATCATATCATAGAGATAAAATTGAAGTTGATCCTACAACCAGAAGAAGTTAAGGTGATTGCGATTTTGGGTCCTGCCGGGATTGGGAAGACGACCACTGCCAGAGTTTTATTCGACCAACTCTCTCATGGTTTTCCATTCAACACGTTTTTGGAGGATATCAGAGGAAATTATGAGAAGCCTTGTGGTAACGACTATCAGTTGAAGTTGCGTTTGCAGAAAAACTTGCTGTCTGAAATATTCAACCAAAAGGATATTGAGGTTCGTCACTTAGGAGTGGCTCAACAAATGCTGAGTGACAAAAAGGTGTTGGTTGTTCTTGATGAAGTGGATAACTTGTGGCAACTAGAGGAAATGGCAAACAAACGTGGATGGTTTGGTCCTGGAAGTATTATGATCATTACAACCGAAGATAGAAAACTTCTCAAGGCACTTAGACTTGGGTTCGATCATATCTACGAGATGAAATTTCCAACTTCAACCGAGTCTCTTCAGATATTCTGCCAGTATGCTTTTGGTCAAAAATTTCCAGATTGTGGTTTTAAAGAGCTTGCTAGGGAAGTTACTTGGCTGGCTGGTGATCTTCCTCTAGGCCTGAGAGTCATGGGATCGTATCTACGAGGAACGTCCAGGGACGAGTGGATAGAGGCACTACCAAGGCTCAGGTCTAGCCTTGACAGAGAAATTGAAACAACTCTAAGATTCAGCTATGACGGTTTAAGTGATAAAGATCAAGCTCTTTTTCTGTATATTGCTTGTTTCTTTGCTAAGTTCCATTACATCTTGAAGGTTGATCGCTTAAAGATATGTCTTGAAAAAAGCGGTTTGGACATCAACCATGGACTTCAAATCTTAGTTGATAAATCTCTTATATCTATAAACAACTACGGATACATAAATATGCATAGTTTACTGCAAAAATTGGGTAGAGAAATTGTCAAGAAACAGTCTCTGGAGGAGCCTGGAAAGCGACAGTTCTTGATGGATACCACGGATATTTCTGATGTACTTTATGAAAATACTGTAAGTTTTTGTTTACATGTGCAGTATGATGTTTTCTTGGTTCGTAAGCTGAGATTTTGTTCTTTTTGAATAAACTATTTTAGGGTACTGGAAAAGTCTTAGGCATAATGTTGGATATTTCAGAGGGAGGGGAATTACAAATAAGTAAAAGCGCTTTTGATAAGATGAATAATCTCCAGTTTCTAAAAGTCTCCTCTGATAAGTTATGCATACACGACGGCCTCAACTGCCTTCCTGGCAAACTCAGATTGCTACATTGGGAAAACTGTCCATTGGAAATTTGGCCAACCAAGTTCTCTGGCAAGTTTCTTGTGGAACTAACCATGCGAAATAGCAAATTTGAGAAGCTTTGGGAGGATATTCAGGTAAAAAAATATTCAGGTTTTCTTGTATTGCATGTAAAGCGCCATTGGTCATTACTCTGATATCTATCTTTCTTTTTTTTTTTTTTTTTTTTTGTATAGCCTCTCCAATGCCTCAAGCTGATGGATTTGAGTAAATGTCGATATCTGAAAAAGATTCCAGATCTCTCAAAAGCAACAAATCTCGAGAAACTATATCTCAATGGCTGCGAAAGTTTGTTGGAGCTCACAAGCTCTATTGGCAATGCCACTAAGCTTATAGTCTGCGACCTTAGCAATTGCAAGCTTTTGAAGGAGCTCCCTTCTTCTATCGGTAGGTTAATCAATCTCGAGGAATTAAATCTCAATGAGTGCAAAAGTTTGTTAGCGCTCAATATTTTCTCGAGTTTGGAAAAACTCAGTGGTTGCTCGAGTTTGAAAAAACTCGATCTGAGCTATACTAAAATAGAGGAGATGCCATCATCAATCAGCACTTGGTCTTGTCTTTGTCGATTGGATATTACAGGGTGTACACACATCAAAGACTTCCCAAATGTTTCGGACAGCATTGTGGAGTTGTGGTTGTCCAAGACAGGGATAGAGGAGGTTCCCCCATGGATCGAGAAGCTATATCATCTGCGTAAACTAATTATGGAAGGATGCGAGAAGCTGAAAACTATATCTCCAAACATTTCGAAGTTGGAGAAACTTGAGGATCTTTCTCTGAGTTTCTGTGATCCTAGTAAGAAAGTTGGTAGACATATATTTACTGGTTCTCGCTTTTTTGAAGCAAGAATCGATTGGGGGAGTGACTTGAAAAAAGCCAGGTGGAGATTACAATCAGACTTTGACATTGACTACATTTTGCCGACATGTCTACCCCAGAAGGCTCTTTCATCTCCAGTATCTTTACGTTTCTACGGTAATGGTCTCAAGACTCTTCCAGATTGCATCAGCCCTATGTCTGGACTAAGTAAGCTTGACATCAGTGACTGCAAAGAGCTCGTAGCACTTCCGCCGCTTCTAGATGCCCTTCTATCTATTGATGCAGAAGGTTTTGAATCATTGGAGAGTATAGACTCCTCCTCTTTTCAAAATCCAAAGAATTGCCTAAACTTTGTTCGCTTCTACAACCTGAATCAAGAAGCGAGAAATCTCATACAGACATCAGCTTGCAAATATGCGGTCTTACCGGGTAAAGAAGTGCCTGCATACTTCCCCCACCAGGGTAGTTCAGATTCTCTAACGATCAGTCTGACTCCAAGACCTCTTCCTTCCTCCGTCAGATTCAAAGCTTGTATTTTGCTGTCACTAGACAATATTTATTTCGAGGATCATAAATATGATGATGAGGATGATGAGAATTTAACGATGGATATGTATTGTCACATCAGTGGTAAACAGAATGGTCTCACTGTCCAATATGGACCAGTCCAGCTCCATCGTTTACCAACTATATGTCCATTTTCAGATCATCTGTATATATTTGAAGATTCTGTCTCTCTAAACGAGGATTGTCCTGAAGCCGAAGAAGTCACTTTCAGCGAGCTTTGTTTTAAGTTCGGATTCAGCAATAACTTCTGGGACGTCCAAGACTGCGGTGTACGAATTTTGGAGGTCCCTCAAGAAAAGGAGAGATGCCAGGTAGATGGACCACGTCAGCAAAAAGAGATAGAGTTGAAGTCAAGTTTAGAGAAATCATAGAAAAAGATCATAAAGTTTGTTAGAGTCTTCCTCTTCCTTTTCTCTTTGGTTACTATGATTTTCTTGGGAATTTTCTGGAAAAATCCCTCGTTGTTGTTCAAGAGTCGTTTCTTCTTCTAAGCTCTTCACACATTGAGAATTCCAAAGTTACAATTCATCATCTTCACCAATACAGTTTTACTGTATCATATTGTTGACCGAATATAAACTCTCTATACCCCGGCACAGTCAATCTGGGATTTTTATGAGGAAAATAACTGGACTTGAACCGTAAGAATATAGAAATGTGTTGCGTTTGTAAGTACAGTTTCTGTCTCAAGTTATGGATCATAAGCTTATGAAGATGCAAGATCTTGTTGTTCTTTATGATGTTGATAAACTTGTACAACTTCTTCACTCATGATGCCTTGGTGAAACAGTCTTGAGTGGTTTGGTTCTAAAAGTAGGATTATCCTGACCACTAAAAAGAAACAGATATTGAGAGCTCATATACAAAAACTCGGCTACAAATGGTTGGTTGTATACTTGTATCGAGCTTGCTGCTTGCTATCAAGAAAAGTGGAAAGTTTTCAGAAACCGGTTTGTATATAATTTGTAGGGTTTTAACTCTAACCAGTAGCAAGAAAGTTGTACAGTATACAGTATACTGAAACAGAACAACTCTTCATATCATTATCACTCAACCTATCCAAAAAAACTTGAGTAGTTATCTTTGAGAAAACTCTCTGCATTTCGCATAGACAACAAAATTGACAAATCACATTGAGCGTTGCAATCTTGAACAACTCATTTCTCACAAAGTACTGAGGAAAAAGGTTGACCTACTTACATTGAATAATTCTATCTCTAACTCGGACTACATAACGTTAGATCTCTCTTCTCCTCGGATCACTCTCCCTTGAGACGATGAGAAGTTACGTTGATGAAGGCATCTTCAGGACAAGGGATCGTTAAGACACCCATGGGATGATGAAAACCAAACTCTTCTTCAGATTTAGTGAGAGAGCTTGAAAAGAAGGTTGGTTCAAATATGAAACAGGAACTATGTATCTCTTCTTCTGGACCTGTTCCTCGCCAATGTACACCGCAAGAAACCCTTTTGGTGTAGTAGCTGTTACGGAGCAGCTCAGGATCTTCTTTGCACCCAAGAGACGTCTCACCAAAGCCATTTATAATCTCTTAAGAATCTAAACTGAAGATGGGTAGACGATAAGAAGTTAAACTGTGGGTCAAGCTTGGATTGCTTTACTACTTGGTGATGCGAAGAATTGGTTATGTCTCTGGATGTATAAATAGATCAATGAAGGAGTTGAAACCAACCGCGGAACCTGTGAAACTGTGGTCTACAACTACTAGTGTGGGACATGCAAGAACAGAGTTTCACATGGTCTTAATTTTCCAGATATGACAAGCAATGAAAGCTAATCAACATTATATGCACCCAGCACCTCACAAGAGTTTGTTTCCTTTGTCTCTTTATAGTTAATAAATATATTGCAACAATACCTAGGTTTAGTTTCTTAATGATGTGGTGGGACCTTAAGTTTCCTACCAAGAGAACAAGAATGACATATTCATTTTCAAAGGACATGATCCGATTTGTGGATATAATCAAATGAACAACTTAACCTTTGGCAGAGACCCCTGTTGTTCTGTTGTTGAGGAACTTCAGGTCCCCACTTTGAATTCTTATTAATTAAATTTATGTAGACCACAGAGATGAGAGAATATGATCACCACAGAACATGAAGAACAAAAACTTGTTGGTCTTTATTATTGACAGTAGCATATGTCTTATCTAAACAAACATTGGGGAAAACAAGCCCTTGTGAATTGCATATGGAGTATGTTTTTAGTGTATTGTCTTAATTATCTCATAAATCAAGACAAATTTCATTAAACTAAAGGTTTCCAAAAGCCAAAAACAGAACCATGTGCAATTTCTGTTCTAGTCTGTCCAACGCTTCAAGACCACAAGTTTCACAGATTTTTCAGAGAGTCTTCAACTTATTCACTGATCTATATATAATACACATAACCCACTCTTTCAATCATCAACCAGCAAGCAGCAATACAATAACTTGACTCTTTTTCATACACCTGCTCAAAAGCTTCAAAAGAAATCAAACTTTCAGACAAAAAAATATAGAAATGGCTTTGGTGAGAAGTCTATTGGGAGCAAAGAAGATTCTTGGCAGCTCTGTAACAGCAACAGCTTCTACAAGCAAAAGAGCAACCATGTCGGCACCACCTAAAGGGTTTCTTGCGGTGTACGTAGGAGCGAGAGCCAGAAGAAGAGATATATGGTGCCAATCTCATACTTGAACCAGCCTTCGTTTCAAGATCTTCTCAGTAAATCAGAAGAAGAGTTTGGATTTGATCATCCGATGGGTGGCTTAACGATCCCATGTCCTGAAGATACCTTCATCGATGTGACATCTCGGCTTCACTGATGAATATCCATTATTTTGTTCTTAGAACTAGAGTTAGACTTAGTTCATTGTATATAGATGAAACTTTATTCTGTTATAAAACGAAATCAGATTTCATGCAACCGACACGATCTCATGTTAAATACGTTTTGGATCGATCTTTTGAAATGAAATATACAACATTTGAAGAACCTAAAACTATAATCACTTCACGTCGAACTATGATCACCTAGACCTTTAAGCATCCGGATCCGTGGCGCAATGGTAGCGCGTCTGACTCCAGATCAGAAGGTTGCGTGTTCGATTAACGTCGGGTTCAAACTCCCGAACTTAAATCCGGAAATATTTTTTGCTTCCTTCCCAAGATTTGCCCTCCGGTTTTGCTGCCTTTTATCCAGCTCCACTAGGTGGCTGATCTGGTTTAAACTCAGATAATCATGACCGAAAATATTTGTTCCGGTCTGAATCGGTTCCGGTCTCAGCCAAACACTAAACACGACACTGAAGATTTAGAAGAAAGAATCAAGAAAGGGTGAAATATAAAACCATAGTAGAGCATGCGTAAAAAAAAATTAGGGTTTGAAGAAAGCATGATCGTGGTGGATTGTACGTAAGATAAAAGAAGTCTGTTTGCATTTGTTAATTTAAAATCAATTTGAGAAGGGAGTAACAATTGTGGCAGAGAACTAAGCAATTTAAATCGACTTTAGATATAACTATTACAAAGAAAAATTTGAAGGCTCGTTAGTTTTCATTGTTTGTGTTTTGGTAATTTATCTTGGAAGACAAAATATAGTGAAACTACTCACATTAAATAACAATCTCCTTTTACATTGTAAAACGTTAACATATTTACATTGGATATCTAACTAATGTTAATTTTTCTTCTTTTGGAACATCAACATTGAAATCTAGACGTCACTCTAATGAAGATATCTTCAGGACAAGGGATCGTCAAGCCACCCATTGGATGATCAAATCCAAACTCTTCCTCTGATTTATTGAGAAGCTCTTGAAAAGAAGGCTGGCTCAAGTATGAGATTGGCACCAAATATCTCTTCTTCTGGATTTGGTCTTCACCAACGTACACCGCAAGAAACCCCTTTGGCGCTGAAACTGTCTTTTTACTTGTAGCCGCTACAGAAACGCCAATAATCTTCTTTGCACTCAAGAGACCTCTCAACAAAGCCATTTCTAGTGTCTTGAAATTTGAATCTTTTGAAAAAGATGTTAGATGCTCAGATTCAAGGTTTGGATTGCTTTGATTACTGCTTGGTGATTTGAACACTTGGTTCTATCTCTGGATGTATAAATAGATTGATGAACGGCAGAAAACCACCCTGGAACCATTGAAAGTATGGGACATACACTAACAATGTTTCACATGGTTCTGTCTCTAGAGATGATAGATGACAAGAAAAGAAACCTAACGAGCATCAAGGTACTCATGTTTCTTACGCATAACTGTCCTGTGTGAACCTAGTTGTGGATATAATCAAAGAACAACCTAACCTGTGACAGAGACTTGCTGTTCTGTTATTGAGAAACTTCAGGTCCCCACTTCGAGTTTAAATCCATTTAGACCACAGAACATGAAGAAGCATTGAACAAGCCCTTGTGAACTGCATATGGAGTTTGTTTTTAAGTTTATAGTCCAACAATCAATTAATGATTTCATCAAGACAAATTGCATTAAACTATAACTTTCACAGTTGGTGAAGACAGAACCATGTGAAACTCTGCTCACGCCTGTCCTACACTTCAAGACCACAAGCTTCAAGGATTTATCAGAGAAGTTTCAATTCATTCGTTGATCTTTCTATATATACACATCACATTACCCATTATATCTACCATCAACCAAACAAGAAGCAATATTTCAATAACTTGATTATTTTCATAACTTCTTCAGAAGCTTCAAATTCAAACTTTCAGAAAAAAAAAATAGAAATGGCTTTGGTGAGAAGTCTATTGGGTGCAAAGAATATTCTTGGAGCTGCAACAAGTAAAAGAGCAGCATCAGCGTCACCACCAAAAGGGTTTCTTGCGGTGTACGTAGGAGAGATCCAGAAGAAGAGATATGTGGTGCCAATCTCATACTTGAGCCAACCTTCGTTTCAAGCTCTTCTCAACAAATCCGAAGAAGAGTTTGGTTTCAATCATCCAATGGGTGGCTTAACCATCCCTTGTCCTGAAGATACTTTCATCGCTGTGACGTCTAGGCTGCAATGATGATTATCCAACATATTTTTCTTCAACTTAGACATAGACTTGTTCCTTGTAAATAGATGAGATTTTCTTCTTCCTTATATATTCTAGAATTTTGAAGTAAATGCCATTACTCTGTTATAGACACAATCATGATTCATGTTATATTTATACAAAACCAATTGATCAACAATTTTAATTATACTTTAGTTTCTGTTATCATCTGGATCTGAGGCTCAATTCAACCAAAATTATCATCAATTGATGTCTTTTAATTAACAAAAAAAAAGTGAGCAGTGCCAAGAGATGACGTTAAATGGATCGAATTAACATTCCTCCCTTCCTTTTATCAACCAAGAAAATTCTTCCCTATAGGTTATTAGCTTTCAGTTTAAGAGTTTGATAATATATTAAGTATCCTGGTTAACAGTAATGTTCCGTCTGCTAGAAAGTCGTACGACAAGAATCAGATAGGAACTAATATTTTCTCCGAATCTTTGCCTTAGCTCTTACATCTTATGTATAACCCACAATCTGCTTTGAAAATGTCTTTCTTGTTCTGTTTCTTTCTCTATCTAATACCGTTTTGTTTGCTCTTCATCTCTCTTATAACATTTCTATTCATTCGTATTATTAAAGTAGATAAATTCAGCATGGTCAAATATTAGTAAACAAAAAAAAAAATTATCTTGTTTATATGTAACATAACCGCTTAATTGGCGCCAACAAATTCAAACATTGACAAAACCGGCACTTTGTTGTTAGCAATCAGCTTCTCCATTAGTATTCTCACTGAAACTATAAAGGTAAGTATATATCTGCAAGGGAGTATAGATGGATCCTCCGGTTGTAATATTTAGTCCTTGAAACATTTTTACCACTGTCTAGACCAGTCTTGCAACTCACGTAACAGTGAGGGAGTAAAATAAGTAATTTGATCAGATTTATCTTCCATACTCTTTTTTTTTTCCTTGATCTAGAGCAAAAGCTCAAGAGCCTAGATATTTCTTGTTATTCTGAAATGATGAAGTGAGAGACACTTGTATATTTTCTTACAGAGAAATCTTATATGAAATCAAATAAAAACATAACTTGTTGTTATGTTCTGTCGTTGGAAAACAGCAGGTCCCTACACCCTACTATAAGGTGTTATTAAATCCATTTCGACCTCATAGTTTAGTGAATTGGCCAAAGAACCTACCACTTGATCGTTACAGATTCACATACAGATTATAATTAAAAGTATATAGGACACTTCTTATCTCATAAACATTGAGAAAACAAGCCCTTGTGAATTTCCTTTGGAGACTATCCAAGTAGACAAATAGCATGCATTAATGCATTTTTTCCAGATGCGAAAGACAGAACCATGTGAAATTCTTGTAGCCTGTCCCACGCTTCACAACCACTAGTTTAATGACTTTTCCAGAGAAGATTGCTATCATTATATCAATTGATCTTTCTATATAACACACCTAAACCCATTCTTCTATCATCAACCAACAACAAGCAATCTAATAGCTTTATATTTTCATACATCTCTTCAAAACAATTCAAACTACTAGAAAGCAAAAATAGTAGAAATGGCTTTGCTGAGAAGTCTTTTGGGTGCAAAGAAGATTCTTGGCCGATCCATAACGGCAACAGCTTCTACAAGCAAAAGAGAAGCCTCGATGGCACCACCTAAAGGGTTTCTTGCGGTGTACGTAGGAGAGAGCCAGAAGAGAAAATATATAGTGCCAGTCTCATACTTGAGCCAGCCTTCATTTCAAGCTCTTCTCACTAAATCCGAGGAAGAGTTTGGTTTTGATCATCCAATGGGTGGCTTAACCATCCCTTGTCCTGAGGATATTTTCATCAATGTGACTTCTCGGCTTCAACGATGATTATCCACCGCTTTGTTCTTAGAATTAGAGTTAGACTTATTCATTGTAAATTTGAGGAGCTTTTTTCTGCTTGAAATAGTTGTTTAGAGAGTGAATACCATTGTTTATACAAGAGACCTGAACATGTCAATACATTTTCGATCGATTGTTAAAAAAAAGAGCTCAACGATTCACGTATATTAAATCGGGATTGATAAACGTAAGTTTACCTATTAAGCATCCGGATCCGTGGCGCAATGGTAGCGCGTCTGACTCCAGATCAGAAGGTTGCGTGTTCGATTCACGTCGGGTTCAAACTCCCGAACATTAATCCGGAAATTCTTTTTTCCTTAAAAACTGAGCAACACCATTGTTGCTTCTCTTTTTGTTTAGTGTGTGAAGCAAGTACCTCTAGGTTTTGATGTGGATTCTAAACAACAGCTTTTGATGAGGATTCTAAACAACAGCTTTTGATGTGGATTCTAAACAACAGCTTTTGAGGTCAGTTAGCAACCCAACCAGAGCCACACTCAGTTTTTCATCTGTAGATTTACATCATATGCCATAGCAGGAAGTGTAATTCTATATTTCGACATAATGTTCGAAACACAAGTCATAAGAATGTTAAACCAAATATGTGAGCTTTTAAGTTTTCTTTTGAAAATGAAACATCACAGTTTCAAACAATTGAAGGTAACAACAATATCTAGGAACCAGAAAACGACTGAATAACTAATGCTGCAGAAGTATCCAGGATTTTCATTGCTGAGATTCTAAGCCATCAATATCATTTCATTATCCCAGGTTGCAGGAAAGTAAGTGTCGTCCACTTTTGAACCTATCCTCGCCATGTGTTTCTGTAGGATGAGTTGTCACGAAGAGAAGCATCGTGTGGCTTGTACTCCATGACGTACGCATGAGGTAGCTTCAAATGCCGCTTGATTGAGTCTCTCAACCCCATCACTGCCTGTTCACAGAAAAAAAACATCGCACTGAATAAGTATAAAAGAAGGGAGACAACGAGAGATCTTCTTGTGAACAGTTTTTCTCACCTGGTGATCAGAAGCATTCCGATTCCATACACTAATGATGTCCTCATTGATGCGGACACTCAGCACTGCCCCACATATGTTTTCAGCATCATCAAGCTGGTCGCCTACCAACGCAAGCAGCTGAAGAAGAACAAAATAAATGAAAAGAGTATAACATGATTCCCAGATACAAAAAGCTTGAACATGGAAAACTTGAAGAACATTTACAATAAGTTTATATTGAATGAACTAAAAGGATGTCCACAAGAAAAATAAACTCACCAGATCCTCCCAGAAGCGAGCAGAGACAACTTTAGAGAAACGTATGATCCACTTTCCTCCATTGCAGTTGGCAGCATCCTGATGGAGAAAAAAATTAGCTTAGGAGATACAACTTTTGATGTACAAACCCTATGGGGAACACACTTACCTCCCACAAGGGGCGAATCCCATCCTTAAAGAAATGAAGATCTGTTGGATTAGGCAATAGAGAAGAACGAGCAAGATGACAGTAGCAAGCCCAAAAACCTTCAACCTAGGTACCATAACAAAAGCCAGATCTCAAAAAAATCAACAAGATAAGCTTACAAACAGCTTCAAGAATGGAGTATTTAGTTGAGCTTACAGTGCTGAACTCAACAATCTTCTTAATGTTATCCTCGTAAGATGTCTGGCTCCTGACCCCTGGTGTGCGACGTGTGTACCAAATCGCAAACTTGTACTGCAAAATTTTCCAACATTCAAAAAATAAATAAACGTAAGAGCCACTAAAAAGCTAGTAGTCTACAATCTTAAGCTAAAGCAGACAAAAGAATGATCAACAATGGTTTAATCTCATCTTCTCAATCCCTAACTTCACAGCAAAAGACCTCTAGAAATAAAGATTCAGAATCCGAATCTTTCCACTAGACAATATACCAATCTTGAACGCACGCGGAGCAAAGTTTCAGCTAAGAGACAGATTCTAATTGAATAATCTTAGCCTAAGCAGACGACGAATCCTCAACAAATGGTGTAATCTCATGTTCTCGAAACCCTAATTTCACAACAAAGATCCAGAAACATAGATTTTAAAATCCTAATCTTTCTACTATCATACAATACATCAATATCCTAATCTCGCACGAGGAGTAAATTTTTAGCTAAGATGGGATTAAAATGGATGATAAGGAATAGAGGAGAGACCCGTAGAGGATGAAGACCATCCTTGAGCTCGCGAGAGTAGCGTTCATCGGAGAAGGAATTGGTAACATACTGCGATTTGATGGTGTCGATGTTTGTGGAGTCTCTTCCTTCTCTGATCTCGTCGTCCCTCCGCTCCGTAATCTCCATTTTAGCTTTCAGGCGTTCGGTTTCCAAATCCCTAAAATATCTAATCAAACCAACAAGAAGATAGAGCGTGAGAAGCTTTTGACTACTACACTCCGGTCAAAAACATGAAGGTCAACTAATGGGCCTTGTTGGGCTCTCACAATGGGCCTCAAAAAAATTAAATTAGCTACGGCTTTCACAATCTCAGGACCAACTCTGCATGCACATGATTGATGAGTTAGGAAGCTATGGATTAGACTGAGAGCATGTTTAATGCATGTTGCTTAGAGAGTTGCTTAGGAGGAGAGGAGTGTTTAATTTGAAGAGAGAGAGTTGCTTAGGAGGAGAATAGTTGCTTAATTAAGCAACTATTCTCCTCCTAAGCAACTCTCTCTCTTCAAATTAAACACTCCTCTCCTCCTAAGCAACTCTCTAAGCAACCTCCATTAAACATGCTCTGAGAGCACCCCCATTGAGGGTTTATGGGGGGAGTTCACACGGAAATCAAGAAAAAAAATAATAAAATAACAAAATCCTATGAACCCCTCTCTCCTAAAGTTCATTCCGGTGAACCCCTCTCTCCTGAGGTTCAACACGTGGCGGCTCGGGATTGGTCTAGATTTTTTTTTCTTTTTTAAAAAAAAAAAAAAAAATCAAAAAGAAAACATAAAAATTGATTCAATGAACCCCAAGAAGGGGTTTATTGATGTGGATGCTCTGATACTCACCAACTTGGGGTTGGGGGGGGCTCCTGTCTCTGTATGTAAATCATGTTTTGCTTCTTTGTGAATACTTTTCTTCCTTTCTTGAATATTCTTGTTCTGGTCCAATATGATTTGCTTACAATTTGTCTATGTGGACTAATATCAACGGTTTTGGTTTAATTGGTGCTAGAGGTGTACACTTGGGTCGTCGCATATGTGAAAGAAACTTTGGCGACTTGTGGATGATCACTCTGGTTCACATGTTGAAGTTTCATTGTCCTCTCGTTTTTTGGCGTATGTGTATAGTTGAATCTCCATTAAGATATATTCCACTTAAGAGTTGATAAGCTTATACCAATGTGATTCTATGCTTTTTTGGTCAAGAATATGCAATTTCAATATAATTTCGGTAGTCTAAGATTAAGCTTTTTCTAAAGATTCAACTTTATTTTAGTTTTGATTTAGTTATCTCTCACGAAAGTAGGCAACAAAAGGCGAAAAATCAGAAACAAAGAGGTGAAGCAGAAAACAAATCTTTCCACGACTATCTTTCATCTTTTTCTCTCTTGAAATTAAACTTTTGTGACTTGTGTTACACGTAACTCTACTTCCTTTTTTTTTTTGGAATTGCTTGTTAACTACAAAAGTTTGTTAATGTACGAATATAAGAGACATATGAAAAATATGAAGAACGTTCATGTGTTGGTGGTACCAAGTTTATGGTTGAAATCTCGTCTTCTCTATCCCACGTCTTAATCCAAAAACTGAAAGAAAATAAACTCAACCTAAAATCCAATTTTCATTAGTACGAAAGATTCTTTCATATGCATCGCCAAACTAAAACATGATTTCACCACTAAAAGTTGTATAACCAATGGTTATGAGAAGAAAATTATCAAAGAGAGAAGCTGAGAAGGGACCTTGTCAAAGAAGACAATCTATACTTCTTAACGTGGGTCCGAAAACGTAACATCTTTTTGTCACTTCACATGTAGAAAATTGTATGACTCCAAATTAAATCACCATAACCATTTTGGATTCTGAATATATATATTTTTGGTCTCTTCTTCTTCTTTACTCTATTAAGGGATCTAGAAACACATTCACAACAATGAGAAAGAGGCAGTGAGGTATCTCCTAAAAATTATCAAACCTAAAAACTCTCTTTCTTTCTTTTTTTTTTCCCTCAAAACCCTAATCTGAGAAATCAAACAACCACTTGGAAGAGATGGATCTAGAAGACTGGGAACTACTCCCCAGACATCCCAACGAGGATCACGACGAAGATCATGAGGCAGACATAGAGATCGTTAGAAACACTGAAAAAGGCTTTGACATGGATTACTTCATCTGCCCAACACAAGAAGATCCTGTCGGAAAAACGGAGTTCCATCAACGATCAAGCGTTGTCCCCACAAAGCTCCTCCAAGTTCCCATAACTTGGGAACCCGTGAACAACGTGGAAGACACAAATCACAACAAGAACCAGGATCCGTCATCCCCGAGAATAACCTTCAAAACAGCGAAGGAAAACGGATTTGTCGACATGAAAATAGACTTGCCAGTGAGGTTAACAAGTCCTCTGCCTCAGAACGATGAGAAACACTCCGTCTCAGGAGGAGTGTTAGCAAAAGAGTACTATGATGAGATGGGAACAGAGGTTAAAGAAGGTAGTGACTTGAGGAGCAAGAAAGGGGTTGATTGGGATGAAAAGGAGAACATATGTGGTGAGAAAATGAATCTGTGGAAGATGAGCCTTCATGGAATGGGAGCCATATGTTCATTTGGTGTTGCTGCTGCTGTTACCACCTTCTGTGTCTTCTTCCTTGGACACAACAATAGCATCCAAGGTTGTCGGAACAAGAATAAAATCCTCAGGTTCCAGATTTATGCTGATGATAATAAGGTAATTGTTTTCTTTTAATAATATGATTCTGAATCCATATCCAAACTGCAAGTAATCGTAGGTTCTCATAACATTTACCAATGATTATTAAGTTTGGTATAATGAATGGGAAATTTAAGCATATAAGAAAACTAACATATGTTGTAAATGTCCAAACTAGTTTTATACGAATACATGTTTTAACTGTATTTTGTTATATTGCAGCGAATAAACGAAGTAGTGAAGCATGCAACAAAGCTAAATAAAGCAATGTCTGTGATGAAAGGTCTTCCGGTGGCAAGAGCTCAGATCTCTTTTGGAGGATACTATGATGCACTTTGAAATCATAGACATGTACGTTTTAGGAATAATAAATTCATCAGAGCCAAAATGTCTACTGTGTAATTACCAAACCGGCGATGATGTGTATTTAAGATTATACACTTATTGATGTTTTATAAACGACTCTAGGCGAATCTTTTATGTCGGTTTAATCTCAAAGTTACATTGTAAATAATTATATGGCACATGCTCTTCATGTTGTGTATACTTCTTCTCTATTGCAAGTGTTGGTGCTGTTATGAAATAATAATTTCTCTGACCTAGAGGGATTATTTGGGCCTCATGATATAACCAGAAAAAAAAATTCTGTTAAGATGGAGAAAGTGTAGATTGTAAAACTCAGAGGCTGATCTCTATGAAACTTCAAAATAAAACGAAAAAAAAATCTCTAAATCATTTTTCCTCTACTATTAGCACAAAGATCCTCTTGAGTTAAGAGGCCTGAGTGTATAAACTCACTTGATAAAGCAGAGAATAAAAAAAACTAGAAACTGGAAAAAAGTTATTACCATAATGGTTCTTAAAAGCATCTTTCATCATCCAAGATTTAAAAAACAAATTACAAGCTAAGGCTATAAGATTAGTATCCTCTCCCTCGGCCCCTAGGACCACCTCTGGAAGAGAATCCACGACCCCTGGGGGCACCTCTGTTGGAAAATCCACGCCCCCTCGGACCACCTCTGGAGCTGGGGCCTCCACGGCCCCTTGGAGCACCTCTGCCTCTCCCACGACCTCCCATAGATTGTCCCCTGCAAAAAAAAAAACATAAATAAGACTCTTGTACTAACACTTGAACCCTAAGCAAGCTATGTTTTCACCAATAGGTTAAGAAAAGTGTGGCCTTACTTTGGTTGGGGAAGGAATCTTGATAGAGGCATTAGCTTAAGAGGGTCAATGTAGAACTTATCCCCTTCAGCATATGATGTAGCTACAATACCTTCCATCATCTTTACAGAAAAGAGCTGCAAAAAAAAGGATTCAAATGCTTTCACCTATCAGTAAAGTGAAGAGAAGAAAGGGCTACATAGAGAGAGAGAGATGAAACAACATACAGATTCATTAATGGGACCAAAGATCTCGTCTACTCTCCCAATCTGAGTCTTGTTTTCTAGGTAGATTGGTGCATTAAAGTGAGGGACTTTCTCTTGAGAGAGCTTGGTCACAGCTTCACCCTCACAAGCATGTAGAAAGGTTGCAACTTCTGTTATAACCCAACAACAAAAAAACAAACCTTTTGTCACAAAACAAAGACAACTTCACAAAGTTTGTACCTTTTTAACTTAAACAACTCAAAGATGAATCTAACAAGACAGTGATTCGTCAAAGCTGAGAGCTTTTGTTGATAAAGTCTTCTGCTTTAAAGAGGAAACCAAAGAGAGAGGAGAGAAAACGAACCAATGACTTCGCTGGGAGGTCCTTCGTCACGCCAGCCACCACTACCAAAACGTCCACCTCCTCTGCGTCCGCCGCTACCAAAACGTCCACCTCCTCCACCGTCTCTTCCTCCTCTTCCTCTGAAGCTACCGCCGCCACGTGGTGGTCTCATCTTTTTTGGTTTTGTTTCTTCTTAGTTACAGAGCTCTGCTCCTCAAATAGGGTTTAAGGTTTTAATGTAGAGGTGTGACTACTTGTTAATAGAACTAGAAAAGGAGGACTACTAGGGCTTTCAGCAATCACTGACCGGTTATAACTAAACCGGGGATTTTAACCGGGTATTGAACCAGACATGTTAAAAGGCTTTTAACGAATTGACATTTTATGTTTGGCTTGCTTATTACATAAATTTATTTCTAGTATAACCAAACTACTATTATTAAATGTCTTGTCTTGTCCCAAAAAAAAAATGTCTTGTCTACTTGTGTTTATACATATTTAACAGGTATGATTCAATAATTTGAGTTGAGTAGGCCCATTATTAGTAGCCCCATATATCATATAAGCTTCTCTTATGAAGGTTTAAGTTTTGGTTTGGCTCTCTCCTTTCACTTATCACAAAACCAGAAACAAGACTAGAGACGCATAGAACAAGATGATAGTAATAATTAAAGCACACTTGAAGCCTTAAAAAGCTCTCAAATCTTTCTATTACTAATTCCATCTCTTTTCTTTCTTTTGTTCTTGTACATACATACCAAGACACAGATTGCATCACATTTAGCAAAAATCTGCGTCTGGTTTTACCATTTTGATTGGTATTACGACTTTTAAGCAGAGCTCCAATTGTCTTTGGCTTGCTAACAGAACACGTGATGATAAAGTATGTGTGTATCAGCACACTGTCCTGCCATAGCATATTGATGCAATGTACAGATTTTTTGCCCACTTGTCCTGCAAAAAAAAATCCAACCAACACAGACCAGTCAGAATACGGAAACAATACAAAGTAAAACGATCTAGTCTTTGTTCAAACTTTAAGAATCCCACCTTGACATGAGTACTCGGAAAGGCAGTAGTCCGAAGAGTCTCCTGAGTTTCATCATTCAGTTTACGCTTTGGTATGCTTAATATGAAAGCTGCTTGATCTGCAGTTGCTGCCATTGATGTTATTCTATACCCACTCTCCCACCTCCTATGTATTCCATCGCTTGGGTACAAAAAATCAAGCTCCACCACCTTTCAACGCCAATTTATCATATTAGATTTACTGAGAGAAAAAAAATGTCAGATAAGGAGATGGAAACCTACCTGGTCAGAGTAGCCAGAGTTCCTGGACATTATCACACCCCAACGATTACCAGCAGTTGTCATAGATGTTACATGAAAATCTTCTTTCCATTTCTTATTTATCCACTTGTATGGAAATGAGTCACTGACTTTGTATGACTGCTGAGAATAAGGAGTTCCTTTTGACATAACAACTAACGAGCTCCCGTTATCTGAACCAGCTATCGAAGTTATATAGTAGTTCTTGTCCCACTGTTCCATAATCCACTCCTGTGAAAAAAAAAATATGGTGAGTTAACTAATTTTAAATATAAATCAGATTGATTCCTAGCTGCTTCAACTAATCAATAATATTACCTTGTGAAGGAAGACCGATGACAATTGATAGACTTGGGAACTGAATCCAGTTCCAGCATCCATGATGAGGGCCCAGAGATTAGCTGATGATGCTACACAGCTAATCAAAAGGCTATCTTCATTACCCTTCTGTACATGCTGGTCTAGCCTCGTGTCCCCAACATTGTAGTGATATCTACAAAGGAAAAATTTAAGATTAATCAGTTGGTATATGAACTTGACTAATGAAGGTTATATGCAAAAGTATTCATTCACCTCTGTTTCATGGGACGACGAGAGTTATAGACTGAAATCCACTGAGTAGCAGGACTGCCTAATCTGATTTTCTTCTTTGGCTGCTCATCCTCTTCCAAGTTAAGAAGCAATCTTCCTCGTTTTTGCCCAACCTGTACATATATGCCGAAAGAAGCAGTTTCAGAAAATGTTTAGAAGTCAAGTAATTAAGTATATGAACTGAGAAGTAACCTTAAGAGCCCCATCAATTCTAAGAGGTCTAGATAAAGCACATGGCTCAATTATAGTATCAAAAATCGAAACAAGCTTGGCGTAGTTAGGCTCCTCGTCAAACTTCATATTAGTAACTGCCTCGAGGAATAGCTTAAACGGTGGTGGACAGAAACAGCACATCAGTTCAGGAGAGGTTGACATCTTTTTCTTGGAAACAAGAAAGCTCTTGTTATCACCCTGCAAAAAAACAGTAAACAATGAATATACGTAGCTAAGGACAATGAAGAAGCTGTAAGGTCATGAAAGGAAATGAAAACAGACCTGGTAACCTTGCCATGGCAATCTTCCCTTCAGGAGAAAAATTAAAGTATAAGCCAATGACTCTAGATCATCTCTTCGACTTCCAGTACGACCTAGATGTGCATTTACACTTGCATACCTTATTGTTCCCCTGTATGCAAAACATTATACACATGTAAAGAATAGAATTTATTATATAAATGAAAGAATAAAGTACAATATTGAAAATACCTGAACACATCAGGTCTTTGATCATATTCAACATGATGGCCGGAGTTCGAATCCTTCCATTTTGACGCTGAAAGAGAGGAAGATTATGTGAACACCAACACAAACATCGAAAAAGAGAATCATTTTAAATATAACATTATAGTAAATAATGAGTAAGGTTGTAAATAAATAAAAAACTCACCTAGACCAAGATCGACAAGGTAGAGTTTTTTCTCATCTGCTGTTCCGGGTTGGCCGAGTAAAAAGTTTTCAGGCTTCACATCTCCATGGACAAACCTAGTTTGATTTTGGGATACAACATGGCTTGAAAATCAGTTCAATGAAGCCATATTAGCCAAGAAGGTTAGAAAGAAAAATATTATCACTAACCCTTTCATATGAAATTTCTCAAGAATAGATATGGACTCAACAGCAATGCACGCTACCATGCTTGGAGACATCCTGCCACATGTCATGATTCATGAACATGAGTCATATGAATATATTGCAAAGAGAAGAAAGAGTGGTGTACGGAGAAGAGTGCTTACGATTGCCCCGAAGAGTTCCAAACATCCCAGAGGCTGGGGCCAAGCATGTCCATGACCTAAAGTATTTATTAAAACGTTACTCATTACATGATAACACGGTTAATCTAAAAGTATTATATACATAAGTTCAGACTAAAATACATACAAGAATGTAAAAATCTCCTTGACGACCCTTATGATGTACCGCAGGAACTCCATAGCAACCGTTGAGAGTACTTTACAACAACAGGAGAGAAGAAACAGATGAGACGAAAATAAGAAAAAATTGGCATGAAACTTAAGAAAGATTACAGGCGTTAGTCTTACTTGTACACTTGCCACTCATAAGGTGGGCCAAAATTGCATCCTTTGCTATTTCGGTGCTCAAATTTCAGAGCCACCTCAATTGCATCTGCACCAATCCTATCACTGCCACCACTCACTCTTCTACCAACAAAAACTTGACCAAAACCTCCTTTACCGAGCTTCCTCTCAGTCTTATAAACAGGGGAGGTTCCAACTTGTACCTATAAACAAAGACCAAATCAAAAATTTGTCCTCATATGAAAAAAACTTGGTGACTGAACTTTCATGAGAGATTAGCATGAATCTTTACCCTTTCGGGGACAGGAGCTGAGCTAGGATCTTCTTCCACACCAACTGCCTTATCTGGACTACCACCTTCCATAGCAATACCTTTATCAGCTACCGGTTCACCTATTACTGGACGAACCTCACAAGGCTCTGCCTCTAAATCTATTAACCTGATACCTCCTCTACCCCTACCAGTTGGTCTTGGAGGTGCAGCAGCTTTGGCAGCGTTTCCTCTTCCTCTACCACCACCACCACCTCTTCTCCTTGTTGCAGCTTGAGGAGGAAGCTCAATATTCTCAGTCTGATTAATCACCTGAGGGTTTGGTTGTCTCAATCTACGTGCTCCACTTCTTAACTCCGGCATTCTTACTCCATACAAAGAGTAAAAAACAATCTTTTTCTTTTCAGTGAACTTCACCTGCATAAACACAAGATAAGAGTTTAGTTAATCAGAAGGTCTAGGAAACAATCTCATTGAAAATTTCCTTCACAATCTACAAGAGAGCACACCAATCTATTGTGATTGTAGGTAATTACATTATTTTCCCAACAAATAAAACAGAGAAGCAATCAAAATCAACAAGCAAATGTAACCAAACTCTAGACCATAAAGTTTATAGCTTTTGGCTCAAAGAGTATCAAAATCATCGTTTAATCGCTAAGAATCTAACAAAATATTGATCAAACACAATCAATACAAACCTCTCTGATGATTCTCAGCATAACAAGTAATAATATTCACATTCAAAAGCATCAAAAATCATCATCCAAAAGCTAAGATCTTTTATACAAACACAAGCAACAAACTTTAATGGAGAAAACAACCAACCACCACGGAATCAAATCAAAAACATTCTACCAGATGAACAAGCTTCAAAAAGGAACGAGGATCGGTGACGATGGAATCGATCCAGAAAAACTGAAACTTTCAGATCGAAATAGCTTCTTCCAAGTACGGCCGATTTAAAAAGGTTAAAACTTTTTGTAGCTGTGAAGCACCAAACGGAGAGACGGAGACACAACTTTTAGATAGATAGATTTTTAGGTTTAATTAATAATGGAGATTGAAGATGAGAGGAGGTGCAGATTTGGAGAAGTTTTTATTTTTTCTTTCTTGGATTGATCAACTTTTTTTTACAAATTAAATTTCTGGCATATATTTGGTGAAGATTTTTTTTATTTTATTTTCTTCCATTTTTCTTTAAGAAACTATATTTTTTTTTTAAATGTAGTCATTTTTAAAATGTTAATGGTCTTATTATTGCTGTTTGCTTCGGTCTGCCCATATGATTTTGAACTTTATTAATATACTAATTCAACACGTTCGTATGTTTGTAATGTGACTTGTACCCAATTAAAACGCACGTGTAAGGCCGTGTCTACCCACATACTCTTTAGCCTTTTGCAGAATACAAATTAAAATTTGAATTGACGATTAGTGTAAAATGTCGTTTAGGCATATTTACAAATTTCTGATATTTTTCCAAGTTTATGAATGTAAATATTACTATGGTTCTTTCTGCAAAACTGTTTTCCCACCGCTTGTAACAGAAAAAGGTAAAGGAGTTTATGTTTCAACCCAACATTCTCTAATGGACTTCAATGGAAGGTATATCAATTAGAGTGGAGACTAATCAAATATCCAAAATTTTGAAAATATTCGTAATGTGATATGTTTTATACGAAGAACTAATTATGATTTAATTCGATTCTTAGTTATTTAGTATATGAATATTTAACTTTTTTATAAGTTAGAAAAAAATATATTTAACTTTTTTTGGCAGGATATAACGATTTGATTCGTAATTAATGTTTTTGACTTTTCGGTGAAAAAATGTAACTAAAACTAATAAGATTTTTTACTGCATTCGTCAATAAAATGTTGTTTTATTATGATTTAATTTTTTTATCTTTGTAAAAAATGATTAACAAACCAAATAATGTTAAATAGTAATTTTATTATGATTTTAAAAATTTGTCTTTGTTCATTAATGGAAAAAAAAGTAACAAACCAAGCAACATAATGCAATTATTTTTGTTTAATATTTCATATTTATTTTTAATTACAAGTAAATTAAATAGATTAATTGATATACGACTAGGTCAAATCATGTTCTAGACTTCACGGGTCAAATATTTGATTAAGTAACGAGTAATTGTGTCCATGAGTCCATCCATCATCCCTAATATTAGATAGAGCTTAAACTAAACCGGTATTAACCGGTCCGGAGATTATTTTCCTCACTGATCACCGTTGGATCGTTTCGGTTTGTTGAAGATGGCGCGAGGACAGCTAAGTGGCCAATAGGTACAAAACTAAAGTAGTCTCATCCGCAGCTGATCACTAGACTTTTTCTTCCCCAACAGAGTAAAACCCGTACGAGTTACGACCCAAAAACAGAGAGAAAAAAAACAAGACAAATCTCGTTGGAGGGTTCTAGTGCTAAGATAATGACTGGATTCAGGGCATGAGATTGATATTATATGCCATCATTGCGCAGGCCCTCCTCTTACCAAAAAAATATTGGTATTCTTTTTCAGCAATTGTAAAAAAGATTTGAGAATGCAAACTTCTCTTTATGTTTCTGTTTCATAGGGATGAAATGGTTTAGTTATTTAAGTTTTTAAGAATCGGTTCATGTTAGATTCCGGGAACAAAATGAGAAGCTATATTCAAACAGCAGCCGAGTTTCATCATAATTGCTACTTGTGTTGTTACTAGGGTTTGGTGATGCTTCGTCTTCTGGTGAATCTTGATGGTTTCTTGTGGACATCATGAAATTGAAATCATGATCTTTTTGCTTATGATCAAGTTCAGGATTCTCACAAACCTGAAACCGGAACAGACTCAAGGATAAGAGCAGTGAGTAAAGCTTAAAAGGCTGCTTCTTCTTTGGAGTCTCCCCTGTGGCCCTTGAGGCCACAACACAACAGAGTGTTTGATCTCTGTTATACTCTCACCGCCTCCCAAGTCCAAACAATGATGACTGTCAATAAGAAGTAATCTTCTCATGGATTCTGCCTTTCCATTTCTTAAGGCAGAGAGATTTCTACATCAAGAAAGATGTCAGATCAAACAAAAGGCCTATCTGGTAAACACTGCTGAAAGCTAAGTTCATGATTATACTACAACTTGAAATCCCAAGTCTACTTAATCAGTAAGTGAAAATTTTGAATTATGGAGTAAAAAACAAACCGAGTAAAAGAACATGCTAAAGATGAACAAGAAAGCTAAGAAGAGATTCAGACTCCTATTAGCTATTTTGAGCTCTTATAAATCTATCACTTGGAAAAATAAGCAGGAATTTAGATAGTACAAAAGCTAGAAAGTATAATTAGTGAGACGATGAGACAAGAGTAAGCATCATAATGTTTACTATTCATTTCAGTAATGAAGTAACAAAGGCCATTAGAATAAAATCAAGTGTCGGTGTGAAAGCAGAGTAGACTCCACACTTACACAGAGAGACTAGTTTTGAACAAAGAAAAAGAATTTGAATACAACACCCCCACCTTCAAAGCTGGCAAGTGAATAATTCGGAAGAGAATAAGCAAGTGCGAGCACCTTCTCTTTTTGAAATGAGAGAGAGAGACTACTGCTATGACTTGTTGAATGAGATTGGCCAATAATTAATCTTTTTTATCATTCTTCTTTTAGTGTTAAGAGAAAAAAACATTTCTAAATGGTACGAGGTCTGGACGTAGAAAGCCATTGGCTAATGCGTGACTGCATGTGACCGTACGTCAAAATCTCTTTGTCCAACAAATCACACTTTTTAGTTATATTATTTTGATAGAGTAGGATGGATTATTAGTGTTGTCGCATCACTAGTCGATTTTAATTAATCTGTTAGAGTATATTCGTGATATACAAAAAAATTTACGTTAGTCATTAAAATTTAGATTTGTAGTAAAATATAGTATGTTGATAAATCCAGTTGAAAGGTTGAATATCAGGTTAAAGAAAATATTTATGTTTAGCACACTTGGTTTCCATCGTTTTGAATTTAGGTGATGACAGATTATAGAAATAATAAAGAAATGTTAAATTACAAAAATTAAGCAAATTACAAAAAGGGATAAAAAATCTCGTTATATGTATATATCTTCCGGAAGACAAATGTTAGTATTATAGCCCTGTTCGTTTCGTGAACGCCACAATCCGCGGCTGCGACAAAGAAATACAGGGCAACTGAAGCAAAATGAACGGCACGGAAAATATAAATGGTCAGCTAGTGAACCGCCGGATGAACAAAATATGAGAAGCAGTTGTCGCTGAATATCTCAGCGTCTCTTTTACTCCTCGCGATCAGCCGCTGCGTCTGCAATAACAGGCTAGCGCTGTTTCATGAGTGATGTAATTGCCTGTGTTTTGCCGTGGTGAGAAGTTAAATTTCAGTCGCAGCCTCTGATCTTGGCGTTCACGAAACGAACAGAGCTAAGTATATGGTTTGATGCAAATATTATTTCAGAAATTGAAGGAAAAGGAAAGGAAATAAGAAAGAGACAGTAGAAAAGAAGCAATACAGATATCATCATCTAGAAACCGAAAAAAAGAAAAAGAAAAAAGAACGGTTAGCTTTGCTACAAGTTTCGATCTAAAAGCTTCGCTTTAAATGGAAAGTCCTGATATTGTTGCGCATTAAAATATTGCTTACATTCATGCATTTTCGTTTTCTCCAAAATTACTATTCATTCATTTATAATTTTATAAATCCATTTCTCATAATATGATAAACTCATACAAAAAGAATATAATAGGATATGAACCAGTGATCTGCCAATAAGCAAAATTGAAGATATATATCCCCTTAATCCCTTTGGAATAAAATAAAGGAAAACAAAATTAATGAAAGTAGAGAATTAAAGGATCTGGTATATAAGAAATTATTCTCTATTGTGGCGAAAGTATCTTTACTTATAGTCTAGCTGAAAGCAACTATAAGCTTATAAAGAAAAACTATAAGCTTATACTACCAAAAAATGATACTATATGATTTAGGTCTGTGACCAAATTCAACAAAATAATTAATGAGATCATGTCACTCAATTTGAGGTGGAAGAGACTCACACGCTTTTTTCCAAACAATCATAGTACTAGTACATTGAACCAAAGACATCATTTATTTATGTACGGTTAATCGAGTTAATATATACTCATTTTAGTCTTTTGGGTTCTCTACGTACGTATGTAGGGTTAAAACATTTTTAAGAGCATTAAGGGTATAGTAAAACAGTACGTACTAAAGACAAGAAGAATCTATAAATCACGGAAGTATGAAAGGTATGTATGCATAGCATAATGTTTTTAGTCGCTACATGTTCAAGGTTTTCTGTAAGAAAATTTACCAATATGTTGTTTCTTTGGTGCTTTCCAAATTGGTGCAGCTTCTTTTAAAAATACATGTCTTTGTCGTTTGTATATATAATAATGTCAAAGAATTCAATTCTAAGAATATTATAGTACATCCAACCAAAAAACAGATCTGCTGCCAAATCTTAAACATAGATCTGCAGCCATATCTTATTCTATGTAAAGACAAGCTTTTGTGCTTTAGGACCCAAGAAAAAAATTCCTTAAGAACATATATATATGTATGTATGTATATATATTAAGAAAAAGAAAGAGCTGTATTTTTGTTACTAACGGATGTAATCACAATTCACAAGTGATAAAAAAAATTAATGATATTTCCTCTGTTCTATAATAAGTGTTACTTAAATATATTTCATGTAGATTAAAAAGTGAAAAGTATACTATTATGTCTTCATCCAATGTATAATTATTTAAATAAACATATTTTAAAAATATCTATTAGTTAATTAAAAGAATAAGAAAATAATTAATTGTGAAAATTTACATTGGAAATGTAAAGTAACAATTTTTTTGAAACAAGAAAAATGATAGAACTAAACTTATTTAGAAACAAAGGAGGAGAATGAACTTTCACAAAAAGGAGGAGAATGAAACGTACGAAAAAACTCAGTTACTATAAAAATTAATAGGAAACGTAATGTGATTGATGTAATAACGAAGTTCCTTAAGACATAAGACTTGGGGATCTGGAATTGTATTTTCAGAAGAAACACATCATTAATCACTGTTCATAGTTGAAATGTTTATTTATATATATACTAAATGAGACTATATAATAAGCAATATCATATGAAAGGCCAATATGCTGCCAGATTTGGGGAACATTCACATGGTTCATGAGCTGTGTTTTGCTTATCTCTCTGAGTTTTATTCAGGCTAAATCAATCTACAATTTTTTTTTCTAAAAAAAGAACAAAAAATAATTAGTACAATAGAAACTCTATAAATTAATAATCGATAAATTAATATACATTAAATCTCTATAAAATAATATAATTTTATAGTCCTAAATTGAGTTTTTGGTTTGATTAGTATATCGATAAATTAATATCTCTCTAAATTAATAAAAAATAAAATTTTGGTATAATCCCAACATTATTAATTTATAGAGGTTTTACGGTATACTAATATCTCAGAACATATTATTGATAGTGATGTAGTTAGTAAACCGAAACCCATTTATTAACATTAATTAGTGATGTAAGTGTGTTACCACCGAATCCAAATCTGATTTTGTGTTGCATTTTATAAACTGTAAACAAAAATAATTAGCATTCACCTAGTTATTATCATTCGTTTTTTCCTCTAATGGCAACGTTTCTGTTTTAAGTTTGAACTACCAATGCTATAACATATACGCAAATCTCAGTAACTAAAACTCTATGCAGGGTCGGCTGTGAGAATTATGAGACCTAAGACAATTTTTGAACGATTTCACCAAAATTTTTTTTTTTTTCGGATTTGGGGGCCTAAAATTTTTTTTTTTTGGGGCATGTATACATATAAATTTTTCATCCGGCTTTGTCCAACGCCGGCCTGACTCTATGGGAAACTATATATATGAAGATTACCAATATGTATGATACAGTGTACATGGAGATATATTTTCCTATGCACTAAAATCCCAAAAAATCAGAATCCCGTTTCCCCCACACAATAAATAATTAAACAATCAACTAAATAAGATCACTGAAGTAACTAGGATTAATCCCCCTAGTAATAAATCCTATATGTATATGTATTGATCACATGACTTAAAACCAACAGATATACCCTTTCATCACACTTAAATAATAAAATAACCATAACTAGAATTAATCAGTAGTCCCATAAGATCCCCCTCAGGTCACATAGATCGTCATATGACTTGCTACCATTCACCATTCCGGTCAAACTCATCTCTTGCTTCATTACCGGACCCGAAGATACCTCTGTGGTCGTGGTCGCGTTCACATCTGAGCTCAGACAGGTTTCTTGAGATACACTAACAAGCGACTGCTCCATCTTGATCATATCCTTATTGTTGGTGTATTTAGAACCGGAACCGGAAGCAGAACCATAACCCTGGTGGTTAAAGATTGATTGGTAATTAGAGTAGAAGTGATGGGGTTGGATTGGTGATGAGATGTTGTAGGTTGGAGGGTTGATAGGTTTGAAGTTGAGTTGGTCATGTTGACCCATGAAACTCGGTTCTATGAGAGGAGGAAGAGATGAGAAGTTTAGGAGATGATCAATGTTCTCTAGAGAATCCATTCTTGTGAGATTTTGAATTGGTATTCGCGTCATCTGTTGGGTTGTAGTGGAAGGATTGTTCTTGTGGAAAACCCTACACACGACCCACTCGTCCTGTAATCAAGATAACAAACAAAGAAAAATATTAGGTTTAATGAGCACTAATAATTAAACTAGATTTTCATCCTTTTGGAATCTATTTTTCAAAAAAAAATTTTTGAGAATATGATACTTAGTTTTATATAAACTTACCCTTGCGGATTTGGGGAGATTGTGATGAGAATATTTGCCATCAAGACGATATTCATGCATGACCCAATTAGTCTTTTCACCTCGTGGAGCTCTTCCTCTATAAAACACAAGTGTTTTCTTCATCCCAACGAGACAACCTTTGCCTTTGAAGATCTCCTTATCCTTCCCGGTCGCTTTCCAATAACCGGACTCGGTTGCACGGTTAGTCCTCATCCCGGTCGGGTACTTCCTGTCCCTTTGACAGAAGAAGTAAAACTCTTTCACCCCCATCTTTGCCCTCTCTATACCCACCAAAAAAAATAACCAAGAATAATTAGAATCTTAATCAAGAAGTCTTTCGTATGTGTTTCAAAAACGGTCAAAGAAGATAGAAATCGTTTTTGGAAAATAGGATAAAAACAAGCTAGACTCGTGTTGAAATATGATTCAAGAATTGGTAAACTTAGGTGTGAACACTCTTGAAATGGTCAATGAAGAAATGAACTTTGTGTTTTTGGTAAAACTGAATTATTTCTTGAATGATATACTTACTTGGCAAATCCCAGGGCTCACACTTGTTAAGATCTACTTCTCCCATGGCCACAGCTGTGAATCGGCTGTCTAAAACCTTTTCTTTGAGGTAGAATGTTATGATCTCTTCATCTGTTGGATGAAACCTGAATCCAGGTGGTAAATCCACAAGCTCTTCACCTCCATGATTCAGCACCACGCCTTCTTCAACAACACCCGCCATGACTATAAAACAGTGTATCTGTATAGATATGTGTGGATCTGTCTCTTTTGTTTTTAAGTTTAAAGATTGAAGAACAAAAGAAAAAAAGAAAAAAACTCAGAAATTTTCTTGAAAGGAAAAAAGGAGATGGGATGCTTATTTAGAGAGAAAGAGAGACACAAGAAGGAGATGAAGAAAGAAAAATGATTTGAGAAAGCTAGCTGGAGAATCTTTTGGGCAGTTAAAGGTAGAAAAATAAAAGTATTTGAAAGAGTGGAAAATGGCTTTGTATAGAGGAAATAGTGTAGATTTGTAATAAAATAAAGATCAAATATTATTGTTTGTTTCTTCATTTTTTTCCTTCTTTGGTGATTTTGAAAGATACGTAGGCTCCAAGCAACTTCCTGAATTGTTGAACAAGCTTCACACAGACAACAATTCGGTTTATTAATTGACATTTTATACAATTGTAGTTATTAATCAAGGTCATTATTTATAGGCGGACAATCATTCGTTCATAATACATTTAACAAACTTGGAGATTTTGTATATATTATGTTCTTAAATTTTATTTAAAAATAGTATTTCTAATTAACTTATTTAGCTAAAAATAAACTGAGTAATCTTTCCTTGTAACGATTTATATGATTTCCATATATGTAACTAATGATCCATTATATATTAGTTCTGGAGTATTAAAATTTTTTGTAATTATGTATAACCAGTACGATGATTTTCAGAATTATTAGAAAAATAGATTGGTACATCTCAACAGATATTATACGTTTTACTAAATTAACGATCAAATTAATTAGTAGAGTATAAAACAATAATTTCTATTGTTTCCTTAAATAAAAATTATGGAAATATAGTTAACAAATATATGAAAATTAATGATTTTTAATACAAATATTTGATAACAAATATTTTATCCTCCTTCCTTTTTGTTTAATTTTTTTATCCTTAAATAAATTAAATAGTCACATTAAGCATATAATAAAAATTTAGTTTTTTTCTTGTATGCTATATTTTAAATTTTTTGTAAACGATTATAAATTACTAAGACATAGTTTTTGTGGTCAATGGTTTAACTTGTTTTTGTTATAACAATATCATAAAATCATATAAGTCTTGTTTAATATATATTCAATATCATTTAAATTAAAATATATATCATATATATATATATATACATAAACACGTTAATTTAAAATATATATCGTATGGATATTATTGTATATTTGGAAAGTACTAAATAATAAAAAGTCTTCAGTAACTTAAACATTGATCCTATGGATACTCTTAAGATTGCAGAGACTGAATCCACATTTTGGACAGAGGCTCCATGATACGAGCTTCTACGCCAACATAGTCATCAAAATCTTTTCATGGTGTAAAACCCAACACAGCCATGACATCTGAGGCAACTTTGTCAATCATTTCAGCTTCACTGTCCCTAACAAAAGCAAAGGCTAACCATTAAAACAAACATTATGAAAAGTACCTACACTACACATAATAAGCAAACTGAAGTAAAAGAAACGAACCAGTTTCTAGAGTGGTAACCAGCTATACCCACGACATCCTTCAAAGCATGCCTCCATGCTTGCTTCACCTCTTCTATTTTCCCCACACAGGTTTCATTAAAGGATTTTCCAAAATCTCCGGTCTGCTTTCTAACATCAGATGGATCCACTTCATAGAAAATGGTCATCACTATTTGACCAACTTCTTCCCTGCAACTTATGATTTCCACTAACTCATCCAAACACCAGCTTGAGGAAGTGTAGTTAAGGGAGAGGAAGACGATGGCTACCCTTGATTATCTGATCGCTCCTACTAGCAGGGGACCCAAAGATTCGCCTCGCTTCATATTGTCATTGAAGAAAGCTATGATTCCCTTGCTTTCGAGCCCTTTCCTAACGTGACTAAGAAAGCCTTTGCGCACGTCTTCTCCACGGAAGCTCAGGAAGACGTGATACAACCAACTGCGAGACAGAGATAGAGATGAAGAAGAAGCCATGGATAACATCACGAAGAAAATGATCACAATGCTTTCAGATCTGAAGAAGATATAAGAGAAAGAGGCTTTCTATGTGTCTTGCTCAAAAATCATAACCACGTAAAAGAATAAGAACGTGTAAATAGATAAGGATACAAGGAAAATGCTTGACTTTTAAGTGGAGGGGAAGAGTCAAGAAATTATTTGTATTCACGCGTAAAGAGATATGGATCAACTGGAAGACAAGCCTAGAAGATGGGGTCAAACTTGAAAAAAAAAGTCGAGGAAGATAAGGATTTTGATTGTTTCTCATTTCCATCAACAGATTACGACAGAACCGAGAACACTCGAAGATCTCTACAGGAAAGCTGACAACATTCTTGCTTCCCAAGAAATCTGATACAATCTGGAATGTTTTTTTAAACCTTCTCAGGTAAAATGTAATGAACGTTCTAGCCTGACGGCGCTTCTAGTCGTCAGGACCACCAGTTTACAGTTCTCTGCATCTAGAGATGGAAGGGAATCTGGATGCTGAGGTAACGATATAAGATTTCGACATTCATAGAGTAAAAGCTGTTGTTAGTTGAGGAAGTTGCAATCTGGAAGAGTCTTGAAACAATTAGAGATGAATAACAGTGACACTGGAGAAGTGTAAAATATATGTCTGTAACGTCCACTGGTATAGAAAACCAACTGATGTTTACTTCCACATACCTAGAGGGATCACTCATCACCACGAATAATGTGCATACAAGAAACACCTACCATCTTTCACTTCATTAATTCCAGACATGCAACTTCATATGCTTATGATCGATAACTTGAGGCAAACTATTATTACAAACGCAACTTTGCTATTACTTTCCTGGAACCTGAATAAACCCCAGATTGATTGTGCCTGGTGTTGAAATTGAGCTTACATTCTTGGAAAAAAAATTACATTGCACGGAATCAGAAAATCTAACGACATTTACAATTTTCCAATACCTACATACGGCTTGACCTCATTCGTTTCCTCCTCCTCTTCTCTGCATCCTCATCACGTCCAGATTCTTCTTCGTCTCCAGTTTCTTTACCGTCAATAAAATCATCAGGGACCTCCATAAATTGTAGACCACAGCCTTTCACACTCCATTTTCTATAAGAGACTTTGAACCGGAAAACAAGATTGCTGTAAGTGGCTTCAGGGAAACCTCGGTTTAGACAGAAAGAATCTTCAAATGTATACAAACAGTCTTCAAATCCATATATAGTAGGCATATCGTGTTCGTTTGATACATAGCGACAATTTTGTTCCCTCCTGAAGCTGCAAGACACTGTCATCAATAAATTCTTCTCCTCTCTGTCATCCTCATAACTGTTTGCATAATCGAGTCCCCTGAGTAACCTAGACTTATTGTCATACCCTTGACTAATGTTATCTCTAGTCAGCAAGATGCAAGCTTTGAATCTGAAGGTTAAGGGAAGCAACCTTGGAGTTAAATTGATGGTTAGGGAATCTGAAGTAGACTGGTGAGTGAAGTGTGAAGGCACTTCTTCACCTGGTATGACCGGAGGTTCGCAATCCCATGTCCGGTTGAGCCTTTTTGGTTTTCGATTCAGGTTGAGAGAGTCAGGACCTTCGCCATCATCTGCATTGCCGTCATTAATACAATGAGGGACCTCCTGTAAAAGTCGTACACCGCAGCCTTTAACCTTGCCGAATTTATCATCGGCAATGAACTTAAAACAAAGCTTGCTGAAAGTGACTTCTTTGGCTTCAGGGCGATCCTGGTTTAGAGAGAAAAAATCTTCAAATATGTAAAGATTGTTTGGATATCCACAAAAATCTTGCATATGATAGAGCTGATCAGATTCATATCGGACAGTGTGACCATTCTGTTTACCCCAGACGCGACAAGATATACCCCTCAATGAATTATCACCCTCTTCATCATTGTGATCCTCTTCATCATTATGATCATCATCATCATTGTGATCCTCTTCATCTTCATCATGGTCATAATTGTACAAATTATATCCGCTTGAGAACAAGATGCAAGCTTTGAATCTGAAGGAAGAAGGAAGAGGTGTTGGAGTCAAATTGATCGTTAGGGAACCTGAACTAGCTCGGTGAGTGAAGTGTGCAGGCACGTATTCACCCGGTAAGACAGCATATTGGCAAGCTGATGTCTGGATGAGCTTTATAGCTTTTTGATTCAGGTGGTAGCAGCGAGCGAAGTCTAGGCAAATATCTCGATTTTTAAAAGAGGAGGAGTCTATTCTCTTCAAAGATCCACAACCGTGTGCATCAATAGATAGAAGGGAATCTGGAAGCCGTGGAAGTTCTTCGAGCTTTTTGCATTTTTTGACGTCAAGCGTACTTAGTCCGGAAAGGCGTTCAATGCAATCTGGAATAGTCTTTAAACCAATACCACGGAAACTTAATAATACTGGAGATGAAAGAGCCATCTTGGGTAGACATTTCGGAAAAATGTAGTCAATGCCTAAGTCTGATCGTAATCTCCACATGCGCTTAAATTCAGGGCCCCACACGATTATAGCTTCAAATAAGTTGGCATTATTATTTATATCTTCATCATTAATTTCATCATGCTCACAAAAATCATTGGAACACAGACCAAGAAACTCAAGATTCTCCAACTTCTTAATGTTTGGAGATATAATTTCCAGCTTCTTGCATCCATACATTAGTAGAGTACGGAGACAAATTAGATTCTCAACCCATGGAGGAATCTCCTCTATCCCTGTCCTTGTCAGTACCAACTTTACAATTCTGTTGGGAACATTTGGGAACTTCTTGAGGTTTGCACACCCTGTCATATCCAATTGATAAGGACAAGACAAAGGGCTGACTGATGATGATGGTACTTCCTCTATCTGAGCTAAGCTACGGATAGAAGAAGGGAGATCCTTCAAAAGCAAGCAATCTTTAAGTTTGCAGACGGTAAGCTTAGTGGCATTGCCAATAGAGCTTGTGAGCTCTAACAAACTTTTGCAGCCATTGAGATATAATTTCTCGAGACTGGTTGCTCTTGAGAGATCTGGAATCTCTTTCAGATACTCAGATTCACTCAAATTCAATAGCTTGAGGCAAGGGAGAGGCTATACATACATAAAAATAAAAATAAAGAAAAAGATGAGTTTTAGAGAAATGACTAATCACGCTTTAAATATAACCAAAAAATGCTGA